GCAGTCGCTCCATGACGACAATGGAAGAAAGAGCCTGATGGCCAGCTCGAGTTCATCCCAGACCCCCTTGACCTCGCTCATGAACACGTCAATGACGTTGAGGTGCCAAGCGTTCAGCACAAGCGTCTGCTGCGTCTCGTCGTGTGCGAGAACGGTCTGGCCCATGAGCCATCCCGTGCGACGCTCAAAGTCCTCCGGAAAGACATAGTTGAACGGACCCTTGCGCCGCATTTTGATGAGGCGGTGCATGTAGCGGTAGTGGGTGTCGCCCCAGACGGTCCTGGAAAGGGGTTGATCCCACTCTGCCACGGCCTGTTTGCGGTAGCGCTCTCGCTCAATCTCTTTCAGCTCTTTGGCTCTCTTCTCTTCTTCGAGCCTCTGCTGATTTGCAAGCTCAATCTCCTCCTTCTGACGTCGCAGTGCCTCCTGTCGCTCCACCGCGTATTGCTCCATGCGCTCGCGTTGGAGCTGGAGCTCGAGCTCGATCGAGAGTCCCCGCTGCTGTGAGGATTCTCTGGGCTGGTGGGATGCCAGCTGCGTGCGAGGAGGGCTCGATGAGAGTTCCTCCTCAGTCTCGACGCTTGGGGCGTCGATCATTTCAACATTATTGTCATCGTCACCGACAAGCTCGTGATGAGTGTCTTCTTCATTTACATCCTCGTTGCTGACTTCGTCGTCGTGGGTAGCAACCTCGCTGGCTGTGCGCTGTCTGCTCACACTCTTCCTTGTGCCACTGTGCTGAGCCTCCCATTGGCGACGAGCAAAGTCATCTACAGCAGCCTGCTCAAGCTCCCTCTCAAAACGTTTCTGCGCCTGAGTCATCGGCGACTCGACGCCGCTGTCCCATTCTACCACAGGGCCGGGAGTGCGGGCCTTTAGAGGCGATCGCATCGCAGACTTGCTGGGCGAAGCGTTCTTCGGCGGCAGAGTGCGAAGAAACCTCAGTCGATGATCTGGAGAAGAAGATGACTCTTCCAGAGCAGAATCTTCCTGCCACTTCTCTATGTCGGCGTGGGAAAGGTGCATCCGAACAGGTGTCGCGGATTGTGTCGGCGCGAACGACAGCTTGGACACGCCAAGGCTCTTCTGCGTTGACTTGCCGCGGGACTGGACCTGCGATCGGTCTGGAGTGCTGGGCGCCAGAACAGACTTCCTCAGCGAGCTAGGCGCTGGTGCTCTGGCATTGGCGAAAGGATTTGCGCTCTTGAACGGGACAGTCGGAAACATGGTGTTGCTCGTCTGAAGTACGTGAATAGGGCTCTCGGCTGGCCGGTTGGCAGCTTCTTCCTGGGCAGCAAGATCACGCCTCTTGCGCTCGAGAGCGGCCTGTGCGTTTTCCATACCTGGTAGGAGAGCTGGAGAAGAGAAGAAGCTTAACATTTTGTTTTGACGGCTGGATTGTGCGCTCTTTTGAACACTTCGTGCTGCTTCGGCGGCCTGTGTCTTGGCCGGTGTCAAGCCTGTCACTTCGTCTCCCAGGAGCTCATTCTCTTTGCCGGCCTTCGTCCACGGACTGGGCACAACAGGCCGGGCTTTGGCATAGGGATGGTGCCTCTTGCGGGGACTCGTACCAAATGGTTTCTGACGCAGGGAGCCAGTACCTCGTACACTTGACCGCTTACCGAAGGATTGTTGGCGGGAGCCCTGAGGAGTATCTCGCTGTGCCTCGACCTCCCAAATGTCCTCCTCGTCTTCGTCCTCGCCTACGGCAGTTTCATGAGGAGGTGAATCCTGGGTCGGCGCTATGATGCTTGGTTCACGGGCATGCGAACTGTATCCAGCAACGGAGCCAAACGCAACACTCAGGCTCGGGCTTGTAACCTGGTGCTGGAAGACAGTCTCTTCTCGAGGGGCCGCTGCAGGAGACTGCTCGTCGACCATCCAGCTCGATTCCTCCTCATGGGGGGGAGCAACATGGAGTGAGTCGGAGTCACCAGAAGAAGCGATGACCTCTTGCTCTCGCCCCGACGCAAAAGAATCGTTCATTCTATTGAGTGATTGGGAGGGATCACGCGCTACCGGCTTCGCCGCTGGGGACTCAAGGCTCGCCTGCTCGCGCGCGGAGGTTACCGCTGTAGGCGAAAAGAATTTGGCGCCAGCTTGAAGAATATTGGACAGCGGCGGGAACCATCCCTTTCTGGCACCAGTGAACTGGGCGCCGGGCTGGCTCGCAGACTGATCTGCCGACGTCATGGGCCGCTGCTTCGGAGTCTCAGTGGCGATAAGCTTCGAGGAACTCGGAACGACATGGTTGGAGGTTGGACGCTCAATGGAGCGGCCAGCCGTGTGACTAGGCGTAGCGTTCGTTGCGGGCCTGAAAGGACTGCCCAATGAGTTCTGCCGGGAGATAGGCGACGAAGCCTCGGAAGTGACGCTCTGCAGAGCAAGCCCAGCCCTGACGATGGGTGACAGAGACGGGCGATGTCCCAGCTCAGCAGAAGCAGAGCGGGGAGCTAGCATGTTGGCATCTTGAGAAGTACGTTGAGACGAGAGCTCTGGCGCCGTGGGTGTCGACTTTTGCTGGGCTTCGGGTTCCGTCACAAGAACGTCGAGCGTCGGTCTCGCGTTCGAAATTGCTGCAGGGAGCTCGGGTAAAGTGTCCCCGGCAGCAGGCTCTGGGGCCGTTCCGTTGCGGTCGTGATGAGAGATCACGGTGCTGTCCAGGGGCGAAGATGTAAGCTCGGGGGTCGGCAGACGTCCTTGCGTGCTAGCAACAGAAGCAGCACGGCTCCTGGGAGACGAAGCAGCAGCGATGTCCTTCTGGGTTGTGTTGCCTTCGGTTGCCAGATCATCGTGGGCACTGTCGTCGCCAACATGGTCCGTATGAGCGTCGTCAGGGGCATCTTTTCTCTCATCTTCGTCCTGGACATCTTCCTCATATGCTTCTTCCTCGGAGAGCTCCTCATGCATGTCGTTCCCGCTCGGATTGTCGTCCTCCGTGACGCGGTCTTCCAATGAGACCACCTTTTGAACGTCTTCATCGTCGTCTTCCTCATCCATGAGTGAAACATCGTGAGCTCCATGCTCGAGAGTGTCCTTCTCGCGATCATGGGTGTTCTTGGCGCGCTCCTCAGCCTTCCGTTGAGCCAGATACCAATCAGGCACCGCAGCGTCCAGCACGTCTTCTGGTATTTCGGACCAGGAGTCGTTGTAGGCAGCAGACTCGTCATGGTCCGTATCAGCGTCGGGCGTCGCCTTGCCCGTGAGCTCAATAGGGATGGCATCAACATTTTGACCAATATCCGCATGCCGCGCCTCCTGCACCTTTGAGTTAAACAACTGTCTGCTCAGGGATACCGGCTTGCGTCGGGGGCTGGATCGAGCTAATGAAGGGGAAAGGCGGCGCTTGGGAGGCGACAAAGCTGAACGGCCGCGTACTGAGCCAGAGGGAGAAGCAGCAGACTCGGCGCCAGTCATCTCCAATGTGTTTCCAAGCGAGGTTGACTTGGCGGCGGACGACTTGGCGGGGGATCCGGAAGCAGAGGGTTTCTTGGGATACAAATACTGAGACCTAGCCGGAGTAAAGGCTGCAAGCACATTGTCTGGAACCTCGGGAAACTCATCCTCATGGGCTACTGATCTTACTGGCGACGAGTCAACGTCCATCGACTTCTGCGCAGAAGAAAGCACCTGGCGGGCAAGAGATTGACGGGCCAGCGGTCGCTGGGTTGTCTCGGCTGGAGACGATGCAGCCGCTTGAGGCTGGAGCTTTCTAGAAGATGAAAACAACCTGCGAGCAAGAGAGCTAGGTGCTTGCGCTACCGCCTGTTGCTCGGCAATATCGAGGTATGGGTCTTCGTATAAAGCAGACATCTCTGGCGACGAGATGCGAGCCGCAGGCCTGTAGCGTTTGACAGGAGACCGCTCGTCGCCGCCTTGTTGGTGCTCACGCAGCACGGCAGCCCCGAGAACCTCGTCAGGAGCCTCAGACCATTCGGAATTGAGGTCCAGCTGTGCCTGGGAGGTAGTCGGGGCTTGCTGACTGAACAACGGAAGAGCTGGGAGATTGTCGATCTCGGTGATATCACCTTGAGCCTCGTCCTGATCAGCCTGGTGAGATTCGACATCCTGAACGTCATCGCGACGGACTTCGTCACGATCATCATCGCGGCCGTTGCCCTGTTCTTGAAAGACCCGGCTGTGATCATAACTAAGATCAGGGCTTCCTTCATTTTGAGCAGCAGTCTCTTCTCCAGCCCTCGACTTTCTGAAAGACTCAAGCGTCTGGCTGATTATGAAGCTTGTTTCTTCGCCGAATTCCATCGTCTCGTTGGGCCGCACACCTAGACTGCCTCGTAAGGAGGGGATGGAAGCAGCGAATATCATGCTGAAGTCTTCTCCCTGCGCGACCGTGTCGTCAAGTGCAGGTCGCGCTGCAGCTTCCTCGTCGTCGGAGAATTGATCAGCGACAGTCTCTGCAGGAGCGGCATCGTTGATGTCGGAGTGGTCATCGGGACCGTCGTCAGAATGCGCATCATCGCTAAAATTTGAGAGGGGCCCACCAGCGGCATCGGACATGGCAAGCCACATGTCGGGCTCCGGGGCAGCTTCTTTCTCTTCTTCCCGTTGCTCATGTTGTGATTTCGAAGCTTCGAGCTGCGCATGCTGCTCGTCTTCAAGCTCGTTCTGAATGCCCGATTCGCCTTGCATCATAGACTGGTCTTGCGGTACGGGTTCTTGACTGGAGGCAACACCAACCGTCGCATCGTTCTGATCAAGGCTCTCAGTTTCTAGCTTGCTCTCCAGCTCTTCCTGCTGAACGGAATGCTGAGCGTCCCATCCATTGTCTGCTACGGGTGTTGATGAGCGGCGTTCACTAATCCAGGACCCTGTGGAGACTTCCTTAGTGGGTGCTCCGGCAGTAATGTCTTGTGTTGCGGTGTTGTCCACGATAGCGTCGCTAGTCAACGGGTCTTCCGATGTCTGTGGTTCAAAGACGAGTGAGGCTGCAGGTTCTGTGGTAGGCTCCTCGGCGATGGGTTCGGTCCTGGTATTTTCCTCGACATGAATACTCTCAACCGAGTCTAAAACGGGTTCGTTGATTCTCTCGATCTCTTCGGGAATCAGTGCCATGCGGCGCGCCTTGCCCGTGGCCCGCTTTGTGGTTTGTTTTGAAGATGATGTATCCTCCTCAGGCGCAGTCTGCGCCTTACGCTTCTTGGACTGTCGATTTGTTATGTTTGACAGCTCCGACAGAACGGTGCATCGGACATGCTCTCCTCCTCCAAATCCAAAATTCTCGCGCTACGTCCGCTGCGGTGTCTTTTTCTTTGAGTTGCGGTCTTTTTCGGTGTAGCAG